CTTACAATTTTTCAAAAGTATGTTGGGAGTCCTTATTACGGTGAAATAGACATCTTTTAGGGGAAAAGGAAGTGCTTTCAAAGAGGAAGAAGAACACCTAAAAGAGAAAATAAAGAGCACTTATATTACTTAAAAAGCAAACTAAATCAAACAAGAGGGGAGAATACAATTCATAAACTAAAGATTTATGCTCGCTATGAATTCAATAAAGAGTCGAGGGAGTCTCTTACCCTTTGAAAGACTAAAATTAAACTTTCTTTAGATATAGATTAAGATTTTATGAATAAAAATAAAATAACCGAGCAACTGTTTAAAATAACTAATAAAAATAATCAAAATGTAGAAAATTTATAAGATCATTAAGTTTTTATTTTTCTTTATTAATAATTGGATATATAAACTATATAAATATCCTGTGTACTATACCGAAAGGAATTGATCGATATATATTTAAAATGCTTTAAAATAAATAAAGATGATTTATAGCTCTTTACTCTTTACTCTGTTAATTATAAAATATAATTGTTATAATTGGTTAAAGGAGCAAAGAGAATTTATTTTAGATATCTTTGATTTATATTTTAATATATTATAATTTAATTTAAAATAAATTATCTTTCTTATAAAATTTCTTACATATGGTTTTGCCACAAATTTTAGACGTCTATTACTATTAATATCATGAATTTTTGCTGTTTTGGAACTTATTTATTTCTTTGAATTTATTTTCTGTATATATCTCCATTTTTAAATTTTATACATTTTAATTTTATGTTACAAAATTTTGGATTTATTTGATATAAATTGCTAATTTTATTTATATTATTAATGAATTATGCTTTCAAATTACGGTTTGTTATTTCTCCTTGTTTTAACTTGTTAAAATTTAAGATCCATAAGCATGTCTATGGAGCATGAAAATATGTTATATTGGATTATAAATATTGATTCTAGTATTATGAAAAATATAAGGGTAAAATTATAAATTTTCAAAAAAAATATAAAGGACTAAATTGTACAACAAAATTTTAGAAAAATGTTAGTAAATCAGTAAATCATTTAATATTTCTGAAATAAAATAATTTGAAGAGTTTTGAAAAAGAAAGAAAATAAAAATAAAAGTATATTTGATTTCTCTTTTAAAAAGAGTTTTCTATTTTTTTTCTAAATATAATATAAATTTATACTATATTTAAAAAAATAGAAAACTCTTTTTAAAAGAGAAATCAAGTATATTTTAAGTATTTCTATTAAAATTATTAACATTTTTAGTTTGTCATTTAAAAAAAAAAAACATGTAAACTTAGTTAAAGAGGATTTAGGTTACTAGAATTGACATTCTAGATACTAAACATTTCTTTAGGACTAATAAAAGTAGTTTCACAATATTTTGACTTCAATTAAGCAAGTTATGAATTTTAAATTAAAGGTATATGAGAATATAATATAAATTGATGAAAATATACATGATGATAAATTCTATAAAAGGGGATTATATCTGATATATGAGTATCGCTTAACTCTCTAGGATTGAAAGTGGCTTGAGAAATGACTGTCCAAATGTATCTTGATTAAAAATATTTTTAACTATAAAAGAGTAATTAAATTATGCTTTGTATATGTGAGGAACAAATAGGGTAGGATGGATTTTCTCTATAGGATAGTAAAATACTAAATCTTAGAAAGAGACCAAGAATAACTAACTTGTGTTGCTTGGATAACATTGTTGGACTATCTTGACAAGTCATAACACATACCATGATTGGTTTGAGTGTGTGTACCGTTAGAAGTCACCACACACTTAATGATATTTATATGCACAATAAAATATGTGATCTTGTGAGAATCAATGTATCATGTGGTACTATCTAGATTCAAGATATAGAACTTCCAAACAATCAATCACTAAAACTTAAAGTTAAAGATAGATAATTAATTACTTCATGGAGAAATCTAGAATAAAAAATATAAAAAATTGATAGGTTCTAAGTAACATACTTTGTATAGTATGATTAATTTAGTGAATGTATCTTACAATATTTCCTTATTCTTAGTTGTATAAATTTCTTATGAAATAGTTTATGAATTGAATATATTTACCTTTCTATTTCCAATGTTATTTATATACTTATGAGAATAGGATGAATTTTGGAGGCCAAGTACATTAGTGCATTGTATTCACCTTTGAAACGGGACAATGAAATTTTAATTTAGTAAATCAAACAATAATTTTATTGGTGATATCATTTACACTCTCAGTTAGATTAATAATCCTTTTTAGTAGCACCAATTATTGTTACTAATGTATTGAGGTTGAGATTCTATTCCTCTTGAACTGTGCAATACAATATCTTGGAATCTATATTAATCCTTCTAAATGGTTTGAACAAGGGTGATTATTAGAATAATAAATGAAGTTAGTAGGAATTTGAATAATGTACAATTTTTTACATAGTTGACATGGATGAAGACTTAGAGTGGTAGTCCTTGGCCCAATAACACTTTCCTCTCTATATGTATTATATTTAAATCACTAGGAGAGAAATATCCAAGTTGTACTTGTAAATCTTCATGAATCATGTAATATATAATGTGTTTAAATTTTCTACATGATAGGTGTTTAAAGATAATTAGTGCCAACTAAAATAAGATGGTTCAATGAGGGACATGTCATTTTTCTCTATGAACAACTATTGTCTTAACTCAAATCACCACCTTTTGACTTCCAAATTACAAATCTAAGTGCAAGTTCTAGTCATCACTATGTATATCAGCAACCTAAATTGTTGCATTATTGTGACTCAATTGTGAACCTATACTTTATCGTTATGTCTCTTTTGTATCAATTAATGCACTGGCATAGCATCACTTCTCACCATCACACATTCTTTCTTTATGTCACCACTGAAAACATCACAATTGTCATTCAATTGAATCCATCACTATGAAACTACTATTCTCATTACGCATCACTTCTCAACCACCACCATGTCTAATTCTATCGTTGGTTCCTCACCACCATTCTTGAAACAAAATCCATAGTCACTGTTAACTCTTCATCATGCAACTATGGACATCACTCTCCTAATTGTGAGTTGAGTAGTACCCCACCCTTGTACACCTTATTTATAAGTTAGAAAGTTTTAAGATAAAATTTTAAAAGAAAATGTGAGACCGGTTGATACATAATTACTCTTTTAAAGTGACTTTAGAGAGCAGATATATAAGAAACAACTCTGCAAGTTAGTATTAAAGAAATATTGTATTGCTTATGCTCTCTAAAGTCACTTTACAAAGTGATTATACGTGAAATTACTCTTTAAGTAAAATTTCAAGAGAAGTTATGTTGTTCTACTCTACAAATTACCACGTCAAAAGATCTAAAACAGCATAGTGACAATAGCAATATTATAATATATGTAAAGTTCAACAAAGAACTCTAGAGAAGAAGGGTCTACTAGAAAGAATCTCCTCCTTTAAAAAATTAAACCACTAAAAATGTATGAACTTATAGTGACTACCTATTTTATAATAATTTACAATGATATTATCTAAATGCTAAAAATAAACCATAAAGCCTACACAAAATTTATTTCTTTTATTAATTATTACACTAATTTTTTTATATAAAATTAACAAAAACATCCTCAATATAAATTTTTCACATTATATAAACCCCTTCTATTTATTAAATATAACATTGAATCATTAAAACTCTTTAAATAAATCAAAATTAAATCCCTCTGTTTAGTTAACAATTATAAAAAAAGTGAACGACAAAAAATTTATTATTTCATGTTTTAAAAAATAATTAATAATATGGAATACAATTAATTATTTTAAATCATTTTTCAAGAAATAAATAATAAAACTTATATTTTATTAATTTAAAAACAATAATAAAATATAAAGATTATATATTTTAACTATAAAACATTTTCGTTTATTAATTTCTGTAGTAATGTTAGTTTAAATGAAAATAGGATAAAAAGTAATAAAAGAAAAGAGAAGAGAGTAAAAGTATGTTTGATTTCTTTTTTAAATTTTATTTATTTATTTTTTTTAAATATAGTATAAATTTATATTATATTTAAAAATAAAAACAGAAAACTTTTTTTAAAAAAGAAATCAAACATATTTTAAGTTATTTGTTTTGGTGAAAATGAGAAATAAAAAAGAAAATGTGAGTTTAAATGAAGATACTTTCCTTTAAAGATGGAGAAAAATTAAAGAGAGAGTGTTGTGCTATTTTTTATTCTAATATTTTTATACAAAATAATTTTTTATTAAAAAAATCGTAAAATGCTTTAAGTTATCAAATTTTAAATTTTTTATTTATATCCATTAAAATAATGTATATATATATATATATACCTTTTTTTTCTATTTCATTCTTCGTCTAAATAAAATGTAAATGACAAAAAATATTTAGCTTTTTACCCAAATACAACGGTCGATGACCTCAAAAATAAACATATCAAATAATAATAATAATAATTTCACATTATTTAATATTTAATATTTAAAAATAGTTTTATCAGACTATTAATAATATATCTTGCTTCCTTTCCTTCTTTTTATACCTAATTAATACCCCATGAGAAAGTGTAAAATAATGAGTTGGTCACTGTTTCATGTCTCACCATTTTTGTCAAAGTCAATTTCTAAAACAAGTTTGAAATTAGAATAATTAAACTGAGAGGTGCTAACACATACCTAATCTTTAGGTGGTAGCATAATAGCAAGTTTATGTGAGGAGAGCATCTTAAGTCACACTTCACCTGAGCGTACAAAGACGTTGGAGAAGGTTAGGAGGGTCCATCTGCCTCACCAATTAATGCAAAGCAGCAACTTAATTCCCCTTCACATCTCTTGGGAATGGGACCCACTCTCAGTCACAATGCATTACTCCCTCTCATCCAAAAGCTGCGTTCTGTCCTTTTTCTCCTTTGCATCACTTAACGCATAACACTGCTCAGCTTCAAAACCGCTCTAAACTCAATTCATCACTCACTTTTACAACACTGAAGTGAATGAATGGCCACCCCGCACTCTGCTCTGCTTCTCTTTCATCTTCTTCTGATGCTCATTCTCCCATCTCCTTCTCTTCAACAGCCCAGCCACCAAAAAATGCACCCATTCGACCTCAACGCCCTTCTTTCCATAAAAACCACACTCACCGAACTCTCTCTCTCCAAACACTTCTTCTCCACATGGAACCTCACCGCACCCGATCCCTGCTCCTCCTTCGCCGGCGTCACCTGCTCTCTCAACCGAGTCTGCATCCTCTCCCTCGGCACCAACTCGCTCCCACTCGCAGGCTCACTTCCTTCCTCCATCGCCTCACTCACTGAGTTGACTCAGCTCATCCTCTACCCCGGAATCGTCACCGGTCCTATCCCTCCCCAACTCGCTCAACTCACCAAACTCCGAGTCATCTCCTTACCCAGCAACCGATTCACCGGAACAATCCCCTCCACTTTTTCCTCCCTCCAAAACCTTCACACTCTCGACCTGAGTCACAACCAACTCGCTGGGTCAATCCCGCCGAGTCTCACCGAGTTGCCTCAACTCAAGGTCCTCATCCTTGCTTCCAATTCCCTCACCGGCGCGTTACCGAGAACCATTTCCTCGCCGTTACTCCATTTCGACTTGAAGGACAACCAGCTCACGGGACCGTTACCGCCGTCACTGCCGTCATCGCTCCGTTACCTGTCGCTGTCACAGAACCGCATGTGGGGCCCTCTCACCAACGGGTTGAAGTCGCTCTCAGAGTTAGTGTTCCTCGACCTCAGCATGAACCGTTTTAGTGGGCCCATCCCGGCCCAATTGTTCTTCATGCCCGCGCTCTCCTCTCTCTTCCTGCAACGGAACAATCTCTCTGGTGGGCTTCCGAGAGGACCCAGGCCAGGGCCCATTGACAGCTACGGCGAAGGGTCCATCGTTGATCTGAGCCACAACGCGCTCAGTGGGGAACTGTCGACGGTGCTTGATGGAGTGGAGACCTTGTTTTTGAATAATAACCGTTTGATGGGGAGCGTGCCTGAGGCGTATGTCAAGAGCGTGTGCCGCGGCAGCACCAGAACATTGTATCTTCAGCATAACTACTTTACGGGGATACCGCTGCAAGGGGGAACGCCGTTGCCTGATACGGCGTCGTTGTGCTTGTCATACAACTGCATGGTCCCGCCGGCGACGCTGATGACGTGTCCGGCCAGCGCCGGCGGACAGATGTCGAGGCCGGAGGCGCAGTGTTCCGTGTTTAATCATGGTCGCAACAAAGATTAATTGGATCGATGCTATTAATATTAATGTATCATTATTGATTACACGTTTTTCTTTTTTTTTTTTTACTTTCGGTTTTGATTGATAGTGTAAGGTGTATGCCGTTGTTGAGCATAGTTGAGTGATGGAGCAAGAGTTTTGTTTCTTTTGTTTTTTAATTTCAATCTTTAATTTTGTGTATTATTATACTTGTATGAATGTTAATATTTTTTTAGAGACATTAATTATTGAGCTTTTTTTATATGAGTTTTAATTTTCCTTTTCATGCGATTAAATAATGCAAATCTTAATTATTATATATTTAAATTATAGATTTGTTAGAACAATATATTAATTGTATAAACAATTTGTCAACGTATCGTTCATAATTGAGAAGTAAGTAATCCCATGTCGGCGAAAAAAGAAAAATAGTCCTACTTTTACAAATGATGAAAAAAGGAAAATAGTTTTGTGATTTTTAAATAAATTTAATGTAACACTCTTATTTTATTGCTTTACTTTTAAAAGATGAAGCTAGATGGAGTATGTCAAGTGAGGTTTTTTAAATTAGGCATTCCAAGATATTTTGAGTTGGGTTTCTTTTTAAATGAGAATAAATAATATCATTTAATTCAATTGTCTTCTTGTTTAGGCAAAAAGTATTTGTTCAAGCAAAAAAGTAATAAAAAAAATATTTTCTATCTAATGTTTTTGTTTAAGCGAGAAGGGTCTCACCTAGGTAAGAATGATTCTTACTCAACAAAAATGAGAAAGTTTAAAAGGGTATTTAAGAAACTTTAAGTCTTAGAATTTATATTGTAATTCAAACATCTTTCTCTCTCATTTCTCATTTCTTTGTATTATCTCATTCTCTTTTTTGAAAGAAAACTTCCAAACTTTGAATCTCTTTCATATAGGAACTTGAATGCTTATTCCTTTTGATCTTAAGTAAGTTTTCTATAGTTTAGTTCTTCAATCTCATTTCTATTCTTTATTTTATCTTTTTATAAAAGTGTTCTACTTTGTAATGCATAAAAGAACTAATCATGCAATTCTCATCTTTCTTAAAAGACATGTAATAACTATTATAATTACTATTACTATTATTATTCACTATTTTCACTAGTACAATTATCACGATCTACCACTATTATCTAAAGAACATTATTACTAGTTAAGGACAATTACCACTAGTGCTTGTACTTTCATCATAGTAATTGCTACAACTATTATTACTATCACTGTTAATGATCTATGTTGTCACTATCATAACTACTACAACTATAACAATCATCACTATTGTAGTTACTACCATTATTGTTGTCAATATCATGTCGCTCTTATCTTTTATCATTATTAACTATTGTCACTAATATAATCATCACTAGCCCCCACCATGAGCTAAGGACCATTATGACTGACACTACAAGTAGTCTTTGTTGCCACCATCATCACTACTACCACCATAATAATCATCATTGTTATAGTCATTATGGTAATTATTGTCACTATCACAATTATCATCCTTGTCATTATTATAACTATTGTTGCTACCAATACTATCACCATTGTCACATTATTATTACTAGTATTAACATAATCGTTACCATCATCATATCTATTGCCACTACTGTCACTATCATTATTTTGATTGCCATAAATTCACATGGCTATCGGTGTCACTTCTGTCTCTCTTGCCCCTTATCACTGCCATCATTCAAACATCAATCAAAATTAAATTGAGAAATAGAAAAAAACGAGCATAATTTGATTTTAAGATTTATTTTTAAAAATTAAAAATTAAAAATCATAAAACTAAAAAGTAGCTTCAGTTTTTTAAAATTCAAAACTTAAAACTTAATATCATAATAAATGGTGCTAAGTAAGTTATAGTTTATATCATTCTCACAATGCACATTTTGAATTTTTTTTTCCACCATCTTCTTTTTATTTAAACTAGAAAAGTGCTAGAAATATAGTCTTTTACACACTTTTTTTAATGTACTGCTAGTTATTAACTAAAATTTATTAAAAATTATAAAAATATAAGATAAAAATATTCAATTAAGAATGAAAAAGAGTAAGACTCATGTAATTTTTATAATTTTTAATAAATTTTAATTAATAACTAGGAATGTGTTGCTAGCATTTTTTTAAATTATTAGACTTAATTTTTGTAATTAAGTTCATAATTAAAAGTCTAAACTTAATTATTTGTATACATGCATGTATCAATAAAAGTAATTTTTTTTATTAGAAGTGCCCCCATAACATTTTTTTCCTTATTTTTTATATTAATTCACTTAAATTACTACTTTATTTATTTATTTTTTACCAACTTTTTATTTTTTCCTTATATGTATAAAGAAACTGAACAGCCGGGAAAAGAAAATAAAGCAACAATCATGTGAAAAACAACAATCATACAGGAGGAGGAGGGAAGTCCCTTTGAACATCCTCTATAGTTAGTCTAGCAAGTAGAAATGGAATATTTGACTACATTTGACATAGTTTTACAGAAATAAGAGACCTTATCAAAATTTCTCTAAAAATAGAAAAGTATATATTATTTTTAATTTATAAGATAAGTTTTATTTATTTTTATATTATTTTTTTATAAGAACTTTTTTAAGAGTTTATTCAGACAAGGCCTTATTGTATTTCTAAGATTTTATAGTTATCTATATTAAAATTTTCAAAACTTGTAATTTAAATTTATTTATTTAGTTATATTTTTATTTTTATAGTTACCTTTACTACAACATTTATAAAATAATAAAAATAAAAGCTAATTTTATCATTTCTATTCGTAGATCTTTAATAAATAAAAAGTTACTTTAGTGTAATGACAATTTAGTACTCATTTTATTTACATATAAATTTATCCTCATAATCTATTAGAAAAATAAATAATTAAAGTGAGTCTAAACTCGTACACTTTTCAATTAAAATATTTTAATATTAATTTCTATGTATATAGGTAATATATTGAAACTTTATTTACACTAATCATATTATCAAGAAAACTTAAAACTTTTTATACATAACATTTTTACTAAATTTAGGACATACCACTAACGTAATTTTTTCTATATTAAATAGAATAATAAAAATGTGAATGGTGTAACATAAAAATAGTAAAGTCAATTTGGGTCTTAGAATATAATTAAACTTAAAATAATAACAATGGTTTTTATAAATATATCAATAAATTAAATATAATGTAAAAATAATTTTATTTTATTTGAATTGACCTAATTATGATAAGCGATTTAATCACTTAATTTTAATAAATCTAATTTATAATTTTTTTTTTAAAATCACACTATAAAAGAACAAATACTTGAGTTTGATAATTTTAATTAATTATTTTTAAATATTATATTTATAAAATTTAATTGGATAAATATTAATATACTTCTTAAATGATATGATTCTAAGAATAAAATATTGTATATGTTGTGAATTTAAAAATATTGTTAGATGCTTCAACAATGTGGAAATAATGTTAATTTTGCTAATACTTTAAAATTAAATGAACAAAGAAAATTATTTTAATATTCCTTGTATGAGATTAAAATTTAAAAATTTATTGAAATTAATCATTCATATTATTATTTAATCTTTTTATAACTTGTTTTATTTTGATTTATAATTACTGAATTAAATGATCGATTTTTTCTCATTTGGGACCTATTTGATAACATAAGATTTAAAATATGTAAATTTAATTTAATTTAATTTTTAAGGTTCTAAATAAATAGTATAGTATTTATTTTTCCAAATAAATCAGGGCCGTGTTTAAATTTTTTTAGGGTTTAAATAAAATTATTAGAATAAATTAATATAATATCAATCATCAATTCTTATATTATTTTTTAACTTTTAAAATTTAAAATATTGAGTAATTTTTATAATAAGAAATTATAAATTTTTTAATACTAATAATGACTATTATTGTGAAAGAAAAATTAAATTATCTTTTTAATAAACTTTCAAATAAGCAATAAAATATCTTAATTAACTAATATTTTAGAAGTATTTTTGAAAGAGGATTTTTAGAAAAGGAAAGGAGAAAGTGATATATTTTGTAATTTTTAATTTAAAAATTAATATCATTTATAATAATAAATACATAATTAATATCTTAAATTTATATTAATATACTAATTTATATATTTTATTTTAAAAATATAAAATTTAAATTATTTAAAATAAAAAATTTGTCCCCTCATATCCTTTACTTAAACAAACTTGAAAGACTTAGAAAATTTAATTACTCATTTTAGTTGGATACAGAGTGCACTCATGTAAGCTCTTTAACCATTTCAACTAATAGTAATTTAAAATATTTTGATTATAACTAAATATTTTATTTTAAAACTGATAATAATTACCTTTCATAGGTAATTTCGGCCACTTAATTACCAATTTTAATTAGATATAAAGTGAACTCATGTCATGCAAGGATGTAGAACTCAGGAAGCTAATTCTTGTGCCGTTTCATCCATCGTTGGTGACGAGTTTCTATTCTTTCTAAATTGTATAGATCCAAGCAATATGCATTTGTTTAAGGTCATATTTTATTTTTGAGACCAAAGTAATTAGTGGCTAATTCAATCATTAAATTTTAATTTTTGTAATTTACCAACTGAATTGATTACCATATTTTTATATCGAACAATTAGAAAGAGAAAAGAAAAAAGTTTATTCAAACAAATTTTGTTTGAGTTTTTTCCTTCTCCCTTTTTAATTTCCTTAATTTGAAGAATTTTTTACTGAACCTCTTTCCTTCTCTCTTTCCCACTCTTTGCTTGCCCTTCAAACCATTTCTTCTATTTACATGATTTGCTATTGGAAGCATGCGAAACTTGAAAAAGACGACAACTCCATGTGCTTCAAAATTCAAACAGAAGCACCTTAAAAGAGCATACTTTTATATCATTACTACCTCCTTCCTTGGCTGCCACCACAATAATCGTTAAACTGAATTCGTAGTTTTGAAGTCTATGTCACGACTTGGT